TCACTCTTCCTGCTTAGAATTGCTTTAGCTATTCTGAATAACCCTGAATGTTAATGGCCTAAACTCACCAATTAAAAGACATAAACTAGCAGATTGATTCAAAAATTTAAAAAGACCCAACAATATGCTGCCTCCAAGAGACTCATCTCATAGCGAAAGACATACATAGACCGAAGGTGAAAGGTTGGGAAAAATCATAGCACTAATATAGACCGCAAAATCAAGCAGGGGTTTCCATCCTCATATTAAATAAAGTAGACTTCAAGCTAAAGTTAATCAAAAGGGATAAAGAAGGACACTACATACTGCTCAAGGGAACCATACACCAACAAGACTTAACAATTATAAATATATATGCCCCAAACAATGGAGCATCTAATTTCATGAAACAAACTCTTCTCAAGTTCAAGAGTCAAGTAGAGGGATAGGAAAGGTAGCAGAATACAACAATTACTAATTGGGCATTATGTAAAATTGTGGATGTGTAACCGACGTGATTCTGCAATCTGTATTTGGGGTAAAATTGGGAGTTCATAACCCACTTCAATCTAATGTATGAAATATGATATGTCAAGAGCTTTGTAATGTTGTGAACAACCAATAAAAAAATAAAAAATAAAAAAAATAATAAAATAAAATAAAATAAAATAAAATGTTATTGGAAAAAAAAAAGAGTCAAGTAGACCACAACACAATAATTTTGGGTAACTTTAACACACCTCTTTCACCACTGGATAGATCTTCCAAACAAAAGCTGAACAAAGAAACTATAGAACTCAATAATATGATCAATAACTTAGACTTAACTGACATATATAGAATATTTCATCCTTCAATAAGAGAATATACTTTCTTCTCAGAAACACACTTTTTTCTCTAAAATAGATCACATATTATGCCATAAAGCAACTCTTAGCAAATAAAAAAAGTAGAGATACTATCATATCATAATAGGAATAAATTAGAAATCAATGATAAAAAAGAAATAAAAGCTACTCCAATACCTGGAGACTAAATAATATGCTATTGAATGAACAATGGGTTGCAGAAGACATCAAGGAGGAGATTGAAAAATTCTTAGAGATAAATGAGAACACTGAAACAAAATATCAAAAATCTCTGGGACACTAAGAAGACAGCACTAAGAGGAAAGTTCATTGCATGGAGTTCATTCCTTAAAAGAAGGAAAAAGTCAACAAATAAATGACCTAACATTATATCCCAAAGCCCTAGAAAAAGAAGAACAAATCAACACCAAAAGCAGCAGAAGACAGGAAACAATTAGAATTAGAGCTGAAATCAATGAAATAAAAAAAAAAGAAACAATTGAAAAAATTGACAAAACAAAAAATTGTTTTTTTTAAAAAAAAATAATTAAATTGACAGACCCTTAGCTATGCTAACAAAGAGGAGAGAGAAAACTCAAATTACTAGCATACTTAGTGAAAAAGGAAATATCACAACATAGAAATACAGAAAATAATTTAAAATTATTTTGAAAACATGTACTCCAATAAAATAGAAAATATCAAAGGTATTGGCAAATTTCTAGAGTCATATGATTTGCACAGCTTAAATCAGGATGACATACACAATTTAAACAGGTCAATTTCAAGTGATAAAATAGAAAATGCCATCAGAAGCCTATCAACCAAGAAAAGCCCAGGACCAGATGGATACACAGCTGAGTCCTACAAGACTTTTAAAGAAGAACTAATACCAATACTCTTCAATTTATTTCAGGAAATAGAAAAAAGAGGAAGCACTTCCAAAATAATTATATGAGGCCAATATCACCTGATTCCAAAACCAGGCAAAGATACATAAAAAAAAAAAAAGAAAAGAAAACTTCAGGCCAATATCTCTAATGAACATAGATACAAAAATTCTCAATAAAATTCTGGCAAATTGAATACAAAAACATATCAAAAAGATGGAATACCACAATCAAGTGGGGTTCATTCCAGAGATGCAAGGTTGGTTCAACATATGGAAACCACTAAATGTAATTCATGACATCAATAGACTCAAAGATAAGAATCATATTATCATCTCAATAGACACAGAAAAAGCATTTGACAAAATATAGCACTACTTTTTATTCAAAACACTAGAAAAACTAGGGATAACAGGAACATATCTCAACATCATAAAAGTTATCTATGCTAAGCCCCAAGCCAACATCATTCTAAATGGAGACAAATTAAAAGCATTCTCTCTAAAACCTGGAACAATACAGGGATGCCCTCTTTTACCACTTCTATTTAACACAGTTCTTGAAACACTGGCCAGAGCAATTAGACAGATGGAAGAAATTAAAGGGATAAGAACAGGTAACAAAGAACTCAAAATTAGCACTATTTGCTGACAATATGATTCTATACCTAGAAGACCCAAAAAATTCCACCAGAAAATTTCTAGAACTAGTAAATGAATTCAGCAGAGTAGCAAGATACAAAATCAACATCCATAAATCAAAGGCATTTCTGCATTATCAGTGACAAATCCTCTGAAAGGAAAACTACCTCATTTACAATAGCACCAAAAAAGTAAAACACTTGGGAATCAACTTAAGAGGTGAAAGACCTATACAATGAAAACTACAGAATACTAAAGAAAGAAATTAATAAAGACATTAGAAGATAGAAAGATCTATCTTGCTCTTGGATAGGTAGAATTAATATTGTCAAAATGACCATTCTACCAAAAGCACTATACAGATATAATGCAATTCCAATCAAAATCCCAATGGTATTCCTCATAGAAATAGAAAAAGTAGTCATGAAATTCATCTGGAAAAACAAGAGACCCAGAATAGCTAAAGAAATCCTTAGCAAGATTCCCACTATACCAGAACTTAAACTATACTACAGAGCAATAGTAACAAAACCAACATAGTATTGGCACCAAAATAGACTTGTAGAACAATGGTACAGAATAGAGAACACAGAAACTAACCCACATAAGTACAGTTGTCTTATATTTGACAAAGGCGCCCAAAACGTACATTGGAGAAAAGATAGCCTCTTCAACAAATGGTACTGAGAAAAGTGGAAATCCATAAAAAAAGTGGAAATCCATGAGCCAGAAGCAACATCCATCAGAACAAAATGAAATTAAATCCCTATCTCTCACCATCACAAAATTCAACTCTAAGTGAATCAAAGATCTAGGAATTAAACCAGAGACACTGTATCTATTAGTAGAAAAAGTAGGCCTAAATCTCCATCATGTTGAATTAGGCCCTGACTTCTTTAATAAGATTTCTATAGAGCAAGAATTAATATCAAGAGTCAATAAATGAGATGGATTCAAACTAAAGAAACAAAAGAAACCTCAGCAAAAGAAACAATCAGTGAGGTGAATAGAGAGCCTACTAATTGGGAACAAATTCTTACCACACACACTTCAGATAGAGCACTAATCTCTAGAATATATAAAGAACTCAAAAATCTTAACACCAAAAAATCAAATAACCAAATCAATAAATGGGCCAAGGAACTGAACAGACACTTCTCAGAGGAAGACATACAATCAATCAACAAATATATGAAAAAATGTTCAACATCTCTAGCAATTAGAGAAATGCAAATAAAAACTAAGATTTCATCTCATTCCAGTCAGAATGGCAGCTATTAAGAATACAAACAACAATAAGTGTTGGCGAGGATGTAGAGGAAAAGGCACACTCATACATTGCAGGTGGGACTGCAAAATGGTGCAGGCAATCTGGAAAGAAGTATAGAGAATCTTTGGAAAACTGGGAATGGAACCACCATTTGACCCAGCTATCCCACTCCTTAGTCTATACCAGAGGACTTAAAACAGTATACTACAGAGACACAGCCATATCTATGTTTATAGCAACACAATTCACAATAGCTAAACTATGGAACCAACCTAGATACCCTTTAGTAGATGAATGGATAAAGAAAATGTGGTATATATACACAATGGAATATTATTCAGCATTAAAAGAGAATAAAACCATGGCATTTGCAGGTAAATGGATGGAGCTGGAGAATATAATGCTAAGTGAAATTAGCCAATCTCCCAAAACCAAACGCCGAATGTTTTCTCAGATTTAAGGATGCTGATTCATAATATGCTTCCGGAGGGTGGTGGTGGTGGTAGGAGGGTTAAATGAACTCTAGACAGAGCAAAGTGGGAAACGGGAGGGAGGGGAAAGGAGGAGGCTTAGAGGTAGGAAAGACAGTGGAATGTGATGGTCATCATTACCCTAAGTACATATATAAAGACATGAAGAATGTGACTCTACTTTGTGTATAACCAGAGATATGGAAAAATTGTGCTCTATATGTGTAATATGAATTTTAATGCATTCTATTGTCATATATAACAAATTAAAATTAAAAAAAATAATTAGCAGACTTGGCCAATCACTCATAACTTACCTAATTGCATAAAATCCTATCAAAAGATACAAAGAAAATCTGTTCACAAAGGATGAAAGAACTAAGATGAAATGAAAACTACATGCTAGGTAGTTAACAGTACTTAAACAATATGAGAGATGACTATGAATAATTGTTGAAAGCATTAGAAAAGACATATCTTCAAGATGTGTCTTGAGTTCTGAAACAAAAGTGGATAGGAGCTAGAAGCAACATCTATCAGATATACTGGGGCAAATAAAGAGTTTATATAAGCAACAACAAAAATCATACTGCTTTTTAACTTGGTATGTCAACTAATTTTATTCCTTTTATCAGTATTTCAAGAGTATATGTTGTATTTGGCTTTTCTATATACCTCTAAAAATTAATCACTTTTATTTGGGAAACACTTCTGTTTTGTTTTTGTTAGGTTTTTATTAACTATATTAGCACATGCATATGTTGGGAAAATACTTAATACTCTCTTCCAAGAAATCCCAATGCACACAACTTGGTATAAATTTATGTAATCCTCTTACTAATTAATTTAAAATCTAGACTCAAGCTTGATTTCTGTGTAAGAAACAATCAACAGAATGTGACTTAAGATAGTTCAGGAGAGATAATGTTTAATATGTTTTAGAAAAAGAAGATTTAGTGTGGTTATTTTAAATTTACAAGTTCAGAAGGACTGAGCCATAGATGTTAATATAAATAAGGAAACGTTACCAAATGGGAAAAAAAATTCTCAAATTTGATGCCAATAGTGGTGTTAGAATTTTGTATCTTGAAAATTGAGTCGTAGCATGATCCTGTCAGTAAAAATTCTTGATATCACTACATTTCAATATTTACTTAAGAGACACAGAGAAGCTAATGTGGTAGTACATACCTGTAGTCTCAGTTACTTGGAAGACTGATTCAGAAGGATTACTTGAGCCCAGAAGTTCCAGGCTAGCCTGGGCAATACAGAGTGACTGTGTCTCAAAAAACAAAACAACACAGAAATACCTGACACAGAGGCTACAGCACATGCCATGCAGAAGAGTGGGAAGCACTAGCCTGGAAAATTAAGAAAGCCCCTCCCCCACATTTAGTCACCCTGGTAAGACACCCTTCTCAAGGTCTTCATTTTGTCATTAAAAAAAAAATAGTAAAGGAGTTGGACTTGAAGTTGTCTACAAGTACTTTCCATAACAGGGTTTTAAGGTACCTTGCAGGATCATCTCAGATGATGTAATACTTATAGCCTGTATTAATGCACTTTTGATATATTTATTATCAGAAGCCATTCACACATAAGAATGAATTAAAATATTAGTTCACAAAAAATCAATATAATTAGAATAAGAGTCATAAAACTTAGCATTCACAGTATTGAACCTAGAAAAAAATATAATAAAATGTTAAAATTAAAAGGACGTTTGAGAGAAAGAGAGAGAGAGAGAGAGAGAGAGAGAGAGAGAGAGAGCGCAAGCTTCTTATGAAGAAGTGTGTTTCAATAACAACCACTCCATAACAACTGTGAATTCAATTTGTGAACATACATAATCTGGGGAAAAATTCAATCCAAATGTCAAACACAGCATCAAAAGGATTCTGGAGTTCCTAAAGACACATGTTGAGAAAGAGAAGAACTCATCCCCATTTCCCCATCCTTCACACCTAAAGGGCAGCATTTAAATTATGCACATCTTTGGCAATATTTTATAGAAAATAAATACCCAGTATACAAGAGGAATTTTAACTCAAATCTTCCTCTTCAATTTGTTTTTTATAGCAGACATGTTAATTTCATCTTGAACATGATATGCCAAATATCCTGAGCTTCCAGGAATGAAGTCATGTAACTCCCCAAGGAATTTCTTCATAGCATCAATTGATATATAACCTACAAAATAAGAAAATACATATAAACTTGCATTTTAAATCTTATCATACTTTATGCTTTTCATTGTCTTTGATTTATTAAAGTTATAATTTTTAAAAAGTGACTTGATGAAAGAACTAAATGGAAGAAATAATACCAGTGAGAAGATTCTCCACAAAACCTGATCATTATCAGGAACATAGTTCCCCCACCCCAACCTCCTATCATCCTTTAAAACATAGATACTTGATAAGTCACTTTGACTAGTAACAGTGTCATATCCAGATTGGGACTGGAACATATACGCATTTAAACCAAAATAACTGGGAATAACTGATTTAAAGGATAGTCACTTAGAACTATCTATTTAACTAGCTACCAACAGCACAAACAGCATATCTTTCCTATTAGAACAGACAACTTTTCCTGCACTGCTAACACTAAGACAACAGTCTTTGTGAAAATTTAATGGGGGGGACTGGGGATGTGGCTCAAGCGGTAGCACGCTTGCTTGGCATGCGTGCGGCCTGGGTTTGATCCTCAGCACCACATACAAA